AACTGATTTTTCTGTCTATTAATTCTGTCCTTTGCTGAAAGTGAAGTATTGAAATTTCCAACTCTGACTGTATGACAGTCTATCTCTACATTTATAAACATTTGCTTTAAATGGTTGGATGGATATTGCATGCATATATGTTTAGAATTGTTATTTCCTCTTTACCATTATTAAATGATGTTCTCTGTGTTTTTCCTGTTATTAAGTTTATTTTATTTGATATTAAATATGGTTACTCTTGCTTTCTGTTAAATTCCATTTGCATGGAGTATCTTATTCGATGACATTTCTTTTAGTCTGTGCATCTTCCCTGAAGCTGAGTAAGTTTCTTATAAGTAATATGTACTTGGTTTTCTTTCTTTCATTTGGTTTTCTTAATCTGATTAGGTACTCTGTCCTTTAATTGGAAAATTTAATGCTTTTATATTAAAGGTAATGATTTGATAGCTAAATTAATATACTATGTAACTCATTTTCTAGCTTTACCATAGTTCCCGTCTTCTTCCCTCTATTACAGTGTTCCTTTCTGGGTAAGTGAATTACACTACTCATGTGGTTTGATTTCCTCCTTGTTATTTTTTATTTGTTTATAATAATAAATTTTTGCTTCTTGGTCCAGTGTGAGGTTTACAGTAACATGTCTGACTATAACTATTTTGAAACAATAGTAACTTAGTATAATTTTAAAGAACAATCAAATGAACAATATAAAATATACTAAGAAAACAATGTACTTTCATTGTATTCATCCCATCTTGAATTTCTGCTATCCCCTCTTATGTCTTTTTATATTGCTTATCAGTTAACATATTTATATGATTGTTTTTACCTATAAGTTAGTTTGCACACTAAAGATATGAGTGGTTTGCAATCATGATTGTAATTCTGGAGGGCCCTCAAATTTTGTAATAACTTACTAGTGCATTTTGCAGCTTTCTGTGTTTTCTTCTTTTTACTTTATGTCTATTTTTAGTGGGGAAAAGTGCCTTTAGCCTTTAGCCTTTCTTATAGAGCCGGTCTGCTGGAGATGCAGTTTTTCAGCTTTTGTTTGTCTGGTGGTGGTTTATTCTTTCTCCACTCATAACTGATGGCTCCCCTCAGCACAATATTCTCAGCAGCTTTTTTCTTTAATATTGTGAAGATCTGAAGCCATGTTTTGGAAATTTTAAGATTGCTGCTGGGAAATCTCTAGTAAGTTCCACTGAACCACCCTTATGTGTTTTTCCTTTTTTCTCGCATGCTTGGGAATGGTCTTTCATCTGTGAAAATTTGATTATACTTTGAGTAAACCTGAGTTAGATTTGACTGATAGACTTTGACCTTCCTGTACCTTGATATTCAATTTCATTTCAATTTAATTTCATTTTTTCAGTTTAAGAATCTCTGGTTGGCTTTTCTTTTAACTATGTCCATTCCTTTGTTAAGTTTATCCATTAAGAGTATTGAAGTATTTGTTTTTCCTTGCACCTACCATATATGGTTCTCTGAACATTCTTCTAGATTGCAAATGGCTTTCACACTTTCTGGAACATTGAGTACTAGATTAGGCTGCTTCCTAGACACTCTTGACGGGTTCATGGCATGAAAAGCCATGTGTGTGGGCACCCAAATATTAGGCATTTATTCCATTTTTTAAAATTGGGCTTAGTCATTGTCATTTTGTCTTCAGAAATTCCAAATAGACTCCTCCCGTTACCAACTATGAGCCTGGAGTGCCTTCAAAAACTACAGTACAGAATAATGCCCAAGTCCAGGTTTTGTGGGAGTGTACTGTGAAATATATTGTCACTCTTTCAGTACTAGAGGGCAACCGAAGCCCAGGTTTGTCTCAAATATACTGTTGGTAACCTTTTAAGAAACAGGGGAGTCCCTAGAAAGCCTTTTATGTGCCCCCAAAGCCTTTCTCTAGAGTTGGAATCAGCTTATCTGCCTCATCCAAGTAAGCAGTCTGTGGTCAGACTCTAGCATTCTGCACAGCCATTGGCAGAGTCACTGCGGATAAGCCCCGAGCTTCTGTGTCATACATGTGGTCACTACCACTTCCGAAGTGGGTTACCTCCTAAGCCCATAGCCTGCCAAGGCCATCATGACACCGGAGTAGCACAAAATCCTGCGCTGCCATGAGCTGCTTATTGCTGAGGTGGTCTTGTGGTCCAGTCCATTTCAACTAGTTATGGGTGGCTAGCTGGAGTGGAAGTCTGCTTGGCTGGGGCTGTGTTTCTTCCCCTGGCACTGGGGTGTGCCAGGGGCTCTCTCCGCAGTCAGGCTGGGGACAGTGCACTTCAGGGTTTTCTCAGTACTGGTCTTCACGAACCCAGTCCCAAATGCCAGGGCAAAGTCTTGTGCTACTGTGCTGTCCCACCCCCAGCAAATGGAATTTTGTACCATGCTATATGGGGTGAGTGTTGGTGAATGCATTCTCTTGGCCATCTAGGCTGACAGGAAGATGGGTTTTGCCATCTTTTCGCCTGAGTTGCAGCATGCAAGGACCACACAGCAGGGATTCATGAAACAGCTACGGTGGTGCAGGCCAACATGTCCTTGGTTATCACTGACCTGACAGTAGCTGCCTGAAGTTGGAGAATGTGCGGTACGAAAGTCTGTTGGCTGCCATAAGTGATGCTAAGCTGAGTCATGCCTAAGCCACGGAGACATGGGGGCTTGAACAGTGTTGGGAGGAGGGCAGATGTCAGTGAGGCTCACCCCTAGTCTGGGAGTGATGCAGCAGAAACTTGGACCAGAGATTTCTGAGACGAGAGCAGTGTAATAGTTCTACCTGTGAGTTCTGACCTGCCTGTGGGGTTTTCAGTTTCTACCAGGTACTGGGTCTCCCTGTGGTAGGCCTGGTAGTAGGACCCAAGACAAAGCCCTGTGCTACTTTTGATGCCCTGCATCCACACAAGTGTATTCTTGCTCTCTGCTGTTCCACCCAGAGTTTTAGGAGGGGTGGAGGAGACAGCTGTGTGGCCTAATGCTGTTCCAGAAGCCATATCCATGAATGTTGTCAGTCATTTGTGCGGGTCTTTGTTTAGCGCTAGATTTCACTGTGGTCACAGAAGTGAATTTCAAGTCTAAAGCCTGGACTTCTCCCATCCTACCGTAAGAAGCAGGCTTCTTTTTCTGTTTGGGGCTGCTCAGAATTGGGAGACAGGTGACAGCGGCAACTCTTTCCTACTTGCCTTTTTAATGCATCTTTTTATTGAACTATCCAAACACTCTGGTCTCTGATTTCCTTAGCTCCCCTGAAGGCAGTTCAGAGGCTCCACACCTGTGTACACTAGACCCATGGATCAAAGCTCTCCTGCATCCCACAGGCCTCTCAGAATCCTCCTAAGTTCTTAAAAGTTTGGACCAGCACCAGTGGAAACTCCATGCTTGCATGTTGGGGGCTGAGGAAGGGCAGAGTTTACAGAGTCCTGCAGGATGCCGAGTCTGCCAAAGTTTTTAAATGGCGCCTCAGAATGTGATTAGCTGTTCAAATTACATCTGTGGGCAGAAAATGTTGGGGCCCTTATGCAGGTACCATCTTGTTTCACCTCCACAAATTATATTTCACTTTATTGAAACTCATTTATTCATGCAGATGGCTGTTAGTAGTTTGTTGGTATTGACTACTCCATGCATGTATGTATAAAGTTAATTTTTTTTTTAAATCTTTGGCATCCTAATGAATTACCTGTTCAGAAGAATGACTGTGATGTTGAAAATGCCACATAAAGGCATCCTGAGCTTTTTGTTCTCATTTCCTGGTTAGAGATTTTGTGCCTCTAACCTACCAATAGGGTAATCAAATCTGAGAAACAAAAGGCCAGTTAGGCAGAAAAGAAGAATGCAAAAAAGAATCTAATTGTCTACTCCAAATCAAGAATTTCAGAATAATGTTTGAGTAATAAGATTGTTTCATTTGGTCATTATTTCCATGGCAACAGGTAGCTTTCTTGATGTTGACATTAACAAGCATAGCTGTGCTTTGTCTCATTTTAACTAATTAGATTGATTTCAAGCCAGCTATTGGTCTCACAATCTTCACGGCCACTTGGCAAGGTGTTGGCTACTAAAATCCTTTGGTTAATAAATCACAGAGTGCATTTTCTCTTTCTGCCCATATTTATATGCTTGAGATGATTATTCTCATTCAAAGCCATGCCTGCTAGGCAGATGAGGATCTGCTCCCTATTAGGACTTTTCCCTGTGGTGTTAGGGCAGCACACTCTTCCATTTGCTTAGCTCGCTGTTAATGATCCCAAAGTTTTAGGGGCCACAAAAGGGAGCTTAAAACTGATAACTAAGAGAAACCAGACAGAGGGTGGGGAAGATGTCAAGTCAATGTCACCTCAATCTTGATCCCAGTTGTACTGCGTATGGATGTTGTGTATTCTTGCCCTTTTCCTATGAGTCTACTTCTCATCTGTTTATGAGCCAATAAAACCTTTCTTTCCTTGTAGGCCAATTTGAGCGTGTCTGTCTTTCTGCCATTCCCAACTGCAAGGCCTACCTTGAGGCGTATCCTAGTTGCCTTCATGGCACACTCTGAACGTAACTTTATCAGTACTTTAATGCCAGTCTCTCTCACTGTCTCAGTATCTAGGCAAGCGGCAGCAGGACCTCACTGTATGGAGCCGCTGTGGTGATAATCAGATGAGTTCTTACCCACTACTGGTACTCAGAATGTTGAATGAAGAAACCAAGTATTTTCTCATCTATGTTTTCAGAGGTTTTAGGAGATTAACTGTGGCGCTATCTTTACGTGACCGTCACTTGAAATGATCATGTTTAAATACTAATGCTTCTTTTTTTGGTTGTATGAACGGGGCAATTATTTCTGAGCTTCAGTTTGCTTACCAGGGTGGAGTGCTCACCTCAACAGGTAGACCCTTCTACATAGCAGGCTCTTGGCAGAATGAATTGCCATTAGCGAGTGCAAATATGTAGAAAGAAGTAGGAGCAGATAGTTGGTACAAAACTCATGTGTTTGGGTAGACAGAAGCAGACGCCGTGGCTGCATAACACTGACATTTTTATTAGAATTCATTTGTAACAAATGGAACTTGTGTCAGCAAAGAACTGATTTTCATACAGACTTCTTTCGCCACCAATGTAACGAAGTAAGAAAATAAAAAGCACGCCTTTCATTCTGTAAAACATTTACGCGTACTACTAATTAGAGGTAATTGTATTTTTTAACAAGCCATTTTACAAGTTATTTTAAGTTTTCAGTCTATGCATCCAAAACAAGAGCAAAGAACACGACTGTATTTTCTTTGTAAAGACACTCCAAGCTTGGATGGCAAAGCCACGTAACGGATGGAGAGGATGGATCTGCAGCCTTCTGATCTCTGCTGGAGTATCAGGGGCACCCATGAACCCAAAGGAAACCGAAGCCCAAAAGCAAGATGAAAGGAGAATTCAAAGTAAAAGGAGGGACCAAAAGAAAGCGAAACAAAAATCAGGAAAGAGAAAAAAGTGTGTGCATTACTGCACACTTTTTTTCTTTCCTGTTTCTAAGTTGTGTTATTTACTCACACACATAAATGAATTTTGGAAGCAGTTTCTTACAGATGGGTTCAAGTAATAACATTATTGGGTGTAGAATCAATAGGGCAGTGCATAGTACAAAGGTATAGAAAGTGCAAAGTTCCCTAGAGGCCCTTCCCTCCCCTGGCTGTCCTCGCCGTTTTGTCTAACCATGCAAATCATTTTTAAAAAAGAGCTAAAATAAAGTTCTGTACAAATCACTTTTTATATATTTTGATTTTTACCATTGTAACTAATTACAAAATTATACATAACTACACATACATAGGTAAATAATAGCACCGTACTGGTTATGGTGGTGAAAATAACTGGAAACTTGAAAGTTTATGGAAATGGTAGATAAAGGTGTTTACCTGGGAAATTAAAACTCAAATGATTGTACAGAAAAGTACAGAGTGGAATGCACATCAATGACAGGAAGGGAGTTAGTCTGGGAACAGCTCCTGAATAGTAAGATTTCTGGAATAGTCTCTGCCACGCTCCTCTATGGTATGCATCCCATTCATTTTCTTTTTGTGATTAGTGTCACCTTTCCTCTGCCGCATGGGCAGTTTTTGTTTCAGGGAGACAAACTGTTCATTGGCCAATCATTCTGGTGTGCAATACTGTGTCAGGTTCTACTTGTCCAACATGGCATGTCTTGTTGACACATTGTCTCACCCCCTTCATCTCACTAAAAGAAAATTATAGCACTGAGTAATCTGGCACTTGGATAAATCTTCCAAAGGTACAAACTAAAAGAAAACAACAGACCCATGTAGTGCACATTCTTCTCTGGTTCTGATGTAGGTTAAGAGTCTCACTCTGAGGTAGCCTTCTAGATACTTTTTTTTTTAAGTATTACATATATTTTTTTCTTTTTTTTGTTTTTTTTTATAAAAGTGTTCAAATATGATGCTTGCAAGTGTTTGGTCTCTTGGATTTATTCTGCTAGTGATGGGAAAAATGTGAAAATGAACACCCTTCTATGCAGAACATACATGATGCTAAAATAACCAAATATTACACCTATATCAAAACTCTTTTAGAGTTTTTAGGAGTTTGGGAGAGTTCTTTAAACTCATGTAAGACGTGGTGAACTCATGTCACCATTCATGGCTTCCTAAAGAATATATGTTGGAGGATTTGGGGGAGATATGTTATTTCCACGTTCAGAGAAATCCTAAAAAATATCAAACACATCCTAAAGTTGCCAATGTATGTGTTAACTAAACTAAATTTGGTGCAGTTACTGCATGTTTCAGAGCAGGATTGGGCGGGATTATAAACAAAATGAGTAGCTGTTCCTGACGATTATGAACAGAAGAGCCCTGATTATCCAAGTGCTTTGGGCAGGTACAATCACTGACATCCCCGACTTGGCTGAAAACTAGGAATGCATATTATTCAAAGAGTTTCTGTACATATGGTAAGCACTGAATGCTTTAATGGAAAGGGTAACAAACATGAACAACTAATGGCAATATGAACCCAAAGCTAAAAAGAAATGTTATTAAAATAGGCATCAATTATAAGGCACTCTAAATGCAAAACTAAAAACAAACCAAAATAAAGTACAGCACTTCCCAGGAATGCTGTACGCCACAACGTGTTTCTTACTTAACAGAGTAAAATGAGTTTGGCTTTGCCCCTGTTACGTATCATAAATGCAAATTTCATAGCACATACTATAGACAATATATGATTGAATACACTTTTTTAAACAACTCGATAGCTGATATATTACAACATTCTCCCTTCCTAAAGGGATATGCACTGACCTTTTCCCACATGCACACCTCTTAGATATTTAATAATTTGTTATTGCACTAGGTCATTAGGAATAGTGAACTTTGTTGGAAATCTGGCTAACACCGTGGGATTTGGGAACGTGACTGGGTGGATGGAGGGCGCCCGGGCTGGACGTCAGGGGTGAGGTTTGACAATCACTGATGTGCATTCCTCATTTCCCTTTAGAAAAGTAAAATTTTATGATATAAGAAATCCCAATATGGCATAAACGCAAGAATTGAAAAAAAGATGTTCATAATAGCTTTTCTACTCTTTAAAAGAAAACTAAACCATGAAAGAACTGAATGACAGCTAACTCTAACTTGTGTGTGGACACACTGTCTATATATACATAGACACCCTTACAAAATATGGATATATATGTATATATGTTAGCAGCAACTTTATACTTTGCGCCTCCCTGTTGATTCCAAAAGCAAAACAAGATTGAATGCTCGTTGATCCTTTAAAGAGAATGGGTACTTTTGCATTCATTACAAACCGAACAGAAGTGTCAAACTAAAATCTGATGAGACCAAAACTGGAGATTAAGTGTTGCACAAAAATGTGCAAATTTTCAAATTATTTGATATTTCTACAGCAAGATATTACAGATAACAGTTCTACAGCTTAAAAAAAACCTACAGTTTGGAAATAAAAAAAATGAAGAGTTATGTAACTTTTTTAAAATTCACTTTATCGAATGATACATTTTGTTAAAAAAAAAGTATACACGGTTAGAAATGAAGCACAGGTCAGCAGTATCTTTACAATACTAAAAAACTAAATCAAGGACTTTCTCTTTAAACATTCCCCACCCTTAACTCTTAAAATCTTATTATGAGTGGTATGGTGGGAAGGGGCAGGGTCGGAGCAGAGTCCACTGTATTCCGTGAAGCTACACCAGCAAACACCTTGCGCTGAACTGTAGCGTTCCGGTGATCTCTCTTGGTACCTGTCAAGCAATCTCGAACAAGACGGTGGTTCTTTGCTATGATTTCTTCTTCCCTTTATGTTGAATCCTTGAGGCATCTGTTGATAAAATCCTTCAGATGCCTCATAAGTCAGGATTCTCTTTATTATTTTTCTGGTTAGATTATTAAACTGAATTCTTGGTCCACCTGGAATAGTTGATTTTTAACTGGTTGTGTATGTAATAGTCCCACTGAGTGGTTGTTAGTTGGAAGTTAAGAAGGACTTCTCAAGTGCCCTGTATGGCTCAGAGGAGACTCCATGGGTACTGAAGGGCCTGCAGTAGGAATCCGGAAGGGCTGAGGGCTTTCTATGTTGCATAGTGATCAAAGCTGCCCAGGTATTCCAGCGCGGCTCGGTAGCAAAACTGGTACTGATCCTACAGCAGAGGAGGGGGAGGGGGGAAGGGACTGTCAGTATATGACAACAGAACATCAGCACTCAGGACACCATTACATGTCTACAGGGACAGATTCATTACTTTCTTTAACCAACTCAATCCAATAACCAGGCAGTAATAGTGTGCCAAGAACAACTAGCCATCGGAGGTGTTTATTAACTTCACCAATCAGTTTGACCAAACTAGTCTGCTAATGCCAAGAAGGCGACAGATCTAGAAAGCATGCTCTGCTAGACAAGTATGAACCGATTTCTGAAGAGTAGGACACAGTTCTCATCAACTGAACTCACAAACCTCTTCCATGCCACGATGGTCTTTAACACTGACTTAATGCACTGTGATAACTAATTCTCAGTCTGAAAAAGTACAGAGATGGATAAAAATGAAAACTGTCCTAAAGGAGCTCTGGATTTATATTCCTGGCAGTGCAGCCATCTGAATTTAAGTGAAACAAGGTTCTGATTAGACAGTGCACCCTGGCTGCCCGTGGTCAGCATGACCACCCTTCTGGATGTCCCTGCACAAGTGACACAAGGATCCAGAAGCAGCTAGTGTAGAACACCATGCAGACCATTTCTGTGTGCAGGGCGCTGGATTCTGAAGCTTTTCATCCCCGCCAATGGCATGACAAATTGGCTGCCCATAACAAAAAATACCTCGCCATTAGCCCTACTTCACTGAGACTTGCAAGTGTGTGTTCTAGGAAGGCTTGCAATAAAGAAACAGCACGAAACATGCCTTTTTTCACAGAAGGGAAACACTGTCACATTGGAATAAAAAGCATTGTTAGAAGCAAAAAAAATACATGATTTACAGATGACACAGGCATGAGAAAAAGTAGGATTTTCTCCATAGAAGAAACTTATTTTCAGTGGCCAATGGGGCTGAAAGTAGTTTCTATTTTGCTTAAATGTGCATTTTTCTACAATAAAAATGGTAATGTAGAATAAATGGAGTTGCTTTTCCATCCTGTCACAGTAAGTTGCTTGGCTAAGTGTTAGGGCTTTTTAAACTTCCTTTTTCCCCCTCACCCCCAACACCCATTAAGTTTGTCAAGCTGACACAATGTTTTCAGTATTGAAAGCCAAATGCCCACGCTATTTTGAAATCAAAGTCTGGAAGATATCGTGAATGATGAATTGAGGAACATGTATAACTCAATGTCCATTAGAGAAATATAAAAATTATCACTTTATCCTTAAAGGTGAATAGTCACATGGTCAGATTGGCTAAATACTGTTTTGAGAAAAACTAAAGTTTCCATATCAATTATTAGAATAGAAAATCAGGGGCTGATTTTACTAGGTTGATCATCCAAGATCCAAATATTGAAGAAATGATCTATGGAGCAACCAGTGGCATATAATACAGCCTTCTGCATTCTCTTTCTGTGTGTGCCTTCAGAGCCGAACATTATGTTCTTAGTATTTTGATATATAAATACATGCTATATTTATTATGCATTTAATAAAACATGAAATTTCCTTTTCACAGGTAAAAAATGGTCAAAGCATGGCAACACAGCATCATTCAATTTAATAGAGACTCTCAGGTTATCTATAACATTTGGACAGTAATCTTGTCACCTAGTTTTGTAAAAGAAAAAATAAGGTTAAAAATATTAAGAGACTTGGTGCTTTTCTTATAGGTCCCCCCCCCCATATTTTATGTCTGATGGTGATCTCTGGCCACCAGTAGATAAACTCTACCTTTGGAGACATGAAACTCATGGAAATGTTTCTTACCTCTGTCTGTACCATGGCTGGCCGTTGTGTTCTTAACATTTTGACAGTCTGGAATATATCTACAACGCCTTCGTATCTCATTCTTTCCAAAACAATGCTCAGTGTTATGAAGACACCAGTTCTTCCAACACCCGCACTGCCGAGACAATAAAGGCAGTGTTACCAGTGGAGCTCCCACGGTCCCTGACAGATCGCCTTCTGCTCCTGCTTTCCAAGTGTCCCCATAATGTCATTAGAGAAGCGTGTGGCTGAGTTGACCAAGTGCCCACTTTGGGGATGGCACGTTAAGGGTAACGGGAGTAAAAAGTGACTAGGATTGAGGCTTAGAAAGACCAAGAAAACAAAAAACAAAAACATTGTAACAAAGGGAAAGGAGATGGGGCAAAAAGCACACAGACTTACAGTGATCGTGTAGATTCTGAAACTCTACGACCTTGCCTATTAGATGTCACAGAGTACACAATAATTCAGAGTAAGATGAAATAAATTGGGCACCTTCAATTTTTCCAGTGAATTATTCGAGTTATTGAATTATTTACCCATAATCAATATAAGGTGTCTTATCAATTAAACTTGTATAACAAGCCATACAGGTGATATAATTACTATATTAACATTGGTTTGGACATGAAGAAAAGAAATTCTCTAAAATGAGGTAATTGGACTCAGAGTCATTTTTTTCCTAGTCTTCAGGTGGGGCTGTGAAGG